GCTTTTGCGGACTTTTGCATGGGCATTTACCTGTTGATCATCGCTGCCAAGGACATTCAGACACAGTCCCGCTACTACAACTATGGCATAGACTGGCAGATGGGAGCTGGGTGCCATGCGGCAGGCTTCTTCACAGTTTTCTCTGTTTACACTCTGACTGCCATTGCCCTGGAGCGCTGGCACACCATCACTTACCCTATGCAGCTGCGCCTGCGCCATCCCTGCACAATAATGGCGGCTGGGTGGCTTTTCGCCCTGCTGACTGCTCTGATGCCCATTTTGGGAGTGAGCAGTTACAGTAAGACCAGCATCTGCCTGCCAATGGATGTAGAAACGGTGATTTCACAAGGTTACGTGATGCTGTTGCTCCTACTCAACGTAGCTGCTTTTCTAATTGTATGTGTCTGTTATATGAGCATCTACCTGACCGAAAACAATGCCACCTTCATTCCTGCCAATGCAAACATGCGTATAGCAAAGCGCATGGCTGTGCTCATCTTCACTGACTTCCTGTGCATGGCTCCCATCTCGTTTTTTGCCATCTCTGCATCCTTAAAGCTACCGCTAATCACCGTTTCTCATGCCAAATTCTTGCTGGTACTTTTTTACCCCATAAATTCCTGCTCAAACCCGTTTCTCTACGCCTTCTTCACCCAAACCTTCAAGAGGGATTTCTTCATTCTGACCAGCCAATTCGGCTGCTTTAAATCACGTGCACACATTTACCGCACAGAGATCTCTTCAGGGCAAAACGGAGCCATGGTGCCTTCGCTAAAGACTAGTGATGGAACACTGTATTCCTTGGTACATGTCGCCCAAGTGCACTGATCGAGCTGAAATGAAGATAAAGAAGGAAAGACATGGAATCTGGATGTGAAATTCTGGACAATTTCTATAGCATGAAATAGGGTAAAGGCATCTCATATTGATTTTGTGTACTTACAGTGCTTGACCTCTCGGGTCAAATGATTCAGATGTCTTTAGAAGTACATACTCCATTCCCAAGATGCTACTTGATTGACCTTTGACATATCCTGTATGGATGAGTGCACAAAAATTGAGATTAGGCGATATCTGTAGCATGAATAAAGTAGATCTCTACATCTTTCAACAAGCATGCAGCATTACATATTGTCAAATTAGTTCATACTTCTGAAGTGAAAAGCTTGTTAAATTTAAAGGGATTATGCATCCAAAATTTCCAGAATCATGTTTTTCAAAATTAGTTTTTCATCTGCAGAAAAGAGGATGCTTTAAGGCTTGCTTAAAACTGGTGGCAAAGGTCAACATGCAAAAAATAAAGAAATTGTAAACCATTAAGAGTGTGTTTTGTATATTTTATATAACCAAAAAATAATAATATAAGTTAAACATAATTACACTATATGAAAACCTCCAGTTCCATTTAGATGGTTTGGTTTTCTGTATTATTTCAGTTTTCATGTGTGCTGAAACTGAAAAGACATTTATAGCCCTTGCCATCGCCCACTCTTATCACAAATATTTCAGTCCTTTAGCACTGGAATGATTTGTTCAAGGTCACTATAACCTCGCAGACCAACTGCAGTATGAGAGAGGATGTCTGAGAGAGTATGAGAATTTTAAGTTGAATGGATTTATGGTACAACCAATGAATCCCTTACTGGACATTCACACAGCAGAGTCTGCTTCTGCTTTACATGAACTGAGGCACAATTTAAAACCCAAGTTAGGAGTGAGTTTCACTCTGTTCAAGTCTTGACTCTGTTCATATCTTTGCACCTGCAATAATGTTTAAGCTCTGAGACAGAGAGCCGTTGTTCTGCTAATTTATTTTTTTTTTGGCAACAATGTTTGCCTCAGTGCTGGAGTGGAGAGATGGGAGTGTGTGGCAGTTACAGCAGCTGTGCAATACGGCACCCTGAACTCAAACCTCAAATGGGCTGAGGAAGTCCATAAAGAAAGAGGAATCTTTTATGAAGATATGGCTCATATATCAAGGCCAGGGGTTCAATGACGTAAGTCAAGGGAACAGTGGACAGCAAGAAAGCCACACACAGAGAAAGCAAAGAGTAGTTACTGCAACCATTAGAACTTTAAAATTATTTTAAAAATCTGTTTTAGGAGATAATCATTACTTTTAAAAACCCACGTCTGTGGGTCACAACATTTTAATTCCAACACCCACATTGAGAACTAAGATGATTATATTAATTCAGCAGCACTATGAATATTTCTGTATTTCTGTGAATATTAGTCTATGGCTGCAGCTGACCACTCGACGGCGCTGTAATCCAACAAAAACAAAGCAAGTCATAAAAAACACTGCATAATTGCATGTTACTCTTATTATTGCTACAGAATATGGTAGTTATACTGTGCACGGTATGCAAATATTCTGTATGCATAGATTACCCAAGATGAACAAAGCTTGTGGAAGAACATCCCACAATGCAATGCGCTTGACATGACCATCCTGTTGTTACAGTGTGAGGAATGATCCTGAAAGAGCTGTGCCTCTTTCTCGACTCACTGTTTGAGTGAACAAGTGTTGACATTCTTACACAAACTGGATACAAATGCAATAAAAGTCATTTTTATTTCTTAGATTACAACTGGATGAAACTCGATCTGAACTAAATATGCAACTTAATAGGGTAATCTGACAGCAATGTTGCATAGTACTGTTTGAAACGTTATCCCAATCTTACCTTCACTAACCATTTTTCCAAAAATAGTAGTCAGCATACAGTGTATACTTCCGCAGGATTCATTAGCATATGGAACATAGCCTTAAGGCCTGTTCACACTAAGGACGATCACTGTAATGATAACTATGAAGTTTGAATAATCATTCTAATTCTATGAGAATAGGAACGTTCACAACTGTTACGATAACCGTACTACGAAGATGAACGATTTCATTGGAATTACTTTCAGAACGATTAAAACATTGACAGCGAATCAGACTCTACCATGTCCTTTTACAATGTTACATAATATAATAACTTTTATATATGATAATAATAATTGTTGTTGTCCATTAGTGTGAACGCTAATATAGTTATCGTTTTAATCGTGAACGTGACTTCTTTAAGCTGCTTTTAAACTATTTTCGACATTCATATGAAGGTCGCATTTTACCCCCCAGTGGCATTTACAAAAAACTTAAGAATTGGTCATGAAGCAGTCATTACCTTCCATGATAAAATAAATGAATGATGAATGTATGAATTTTGAACAGTTATTCATAACTGTCCATTTTACAGAAACAATGATTAAAGAACAATGTTTTAGTGTAAAAATTTTGTTAATTCTCATTTTGTTTGTAAATAGTTAAAAAAAAAACACTAAATCGGTAAAAGAAAAAACTCTTTTATTCTTTAATACCATATATAATGCAACAATTGCATATCTTTGGCAAAAATAAATTTTATAAACCTTTTATTAACAGAGGTTAGCTTACAAAATCAAAAATCAGGTTCAGCTGTCACATATGGCAGAAGAACATGACAAAATTGACAGGGAAGTGGCAACTCAGTTAGTGGACCTTATCTTAATAATAATAGTAATATAATAATTCATAGGCAGCTGTTTTCAGAATTGGCCTCAAATTCTAAAACTACTGCTTGGCTCCCCTCCCTGCATTAATACTTGCATTCTGTATTAGCACTATGTACAGCTAGGAGGGGACGAATTGGCAGCCATGGTTAAAGTGACAGGGAAAGAGCTTCACAAGAATAGGCAGTTTTAAAGTAATCGACTCAAACAGAACGTTCTGGATTGCCAGTGTAAAGGGGCAAGTGGCAGTTATAGTTTACAATTTCACATGCTTGGGTATATAAAATCCTAATGTAGCCTCAAACAAACACTTAAAAACCCAATCATAAACAAACAAACTATTGGGAACACACAGCCAGGCAAGTTTTGTGAGCAGCAACTTTGGCGATCTCAAATGGGACAAAAAAACTGGGTTAAACATAGTCCAGAGAGTTCTCAGTGGCACAGTTCTCAGTTCACATCCAGTTGGCTCTCCCATCACCGTCAAGCAATATACTGTCCACTCTCCCCGTTTCACTTCCTGTGATCCTTTCTCCCATGATCAGCAGCGTCCGTGAGCTGCAGCGAAGGGAGAATGTCTTTGTCCCTGCTTGCAGGCGCATTTATTGTGCAGTTCACATTGTCTCTGGTTTTGTCTGAACTCTCTGGAGGTCTGGAGCAGCACGGCGCCAGCTCAAAAGCAGCAATGGAAAGAAGTGGCATTTCACGGAGCTCCCCCTACTGGCTTCGTCAAACAGTTGAAACCAAGAAAAAGATAACAAATGCCTGATTTGGGTAGAAGTGACACTCACGCCAACATAAAGTCAAGGAGCAGGAAAGGGAAAGAGTGGTTCAAATCTTACAGTAGAGGTAAAGAGGTTCTTGTTTTGATTGGCTGCTATTTAGTACACTCCGAAAGCAAGCGATATGCACACGGGCAATGATTTAATCAAGCCAGTGCATGTGGAATAGCACAACACCTGATCGCTAGCATCTGAGAAACACTGAGGCTGATGTGCATGCAACAAAAAGTTTTTTCCTTCAAGCTGTTCTCCAGTCATAGTGGTCAGGATGGGGATGCAAAACTGATCCAATCAGGATGCACGGGAGGAGTCACATGGTTTTGACATCATAACTGTGGCAGCAAAAGGCTCCCAGTTGCATGCCGTCACCACCACATGATATATAAACCAGCAGTACAAAAATAAAATAACTAAGATATTTAGGTCAACTAATTATTGCATTTCTTCATTTGTATCATGTTTATATTATGATCCAAAATCAATGGCACTTTCATATTTCTCTCTTTTTTTTAAGCTTTTCCCCTCTATAGTTAAGATGCGTGAGAGATTTTGGGAGCTTGTAAAATCCATGCATTCATTTTCCATATAAATATGTTTGTGTTGATTTAGAGGTGGAAGCATGCAAATCTTTTTTTTTTTTTTTTTTTTTTTTTACCAGTCTCTTTTTAATTCTTTTTTTTTTTAAAGCAATTAACATCTTCAAACTCTCATACCGTTAAACTCAAATGATGTGGGCTGTTCATTCAAATTGGTTTCTTTTTCTGTACATAAAATATGTCAGTATGGCTTTTCTCTCCTGTGTTTGTATTGCCATGTTTGATGAGTGGACCGGACTAAAAGAAAGAAAACACCCCAACAATTACAAACAAGAAGGAAGATACACCAAACCAGAAGAGAGAGGCTGGGCAGGCCACAGGATGGAGTTTCAGAATCGGGTTCATTTCCTACTGATTTTCCTGCTCTTGCGTCTTGAGGCAACTAAACTGGTGCGAATACCGGCCAGGTGTAGGAGTGAGCCGGCCGCCTCTTTGAGCTCCTCATCCACATCTGTACGAGAATCTCTTCTGCTCCTTTTTCCGAAAAGCGGACCCTGTAGCGGGCTGCGTGGCCATCGGGCCCGGCCTCCTCTCTCCTGATCATGGTGTAGAGCCAGACTGAAGCTGACCGGCTGTGAAGGAGGCATCTGGCGAGGGCAGGGCGGGACAGGGGTGCTGCTGTAGTTGTGATCCTGCTTTGGATCCCGACTCACAACCACCAAGTCCCTTCGGGAGAGATCTATGGGTCCTTCTTGATCATCTAGGTCTGAGAAATCATAAGCAGATGGATAATTGATGTATGACCAAAATCGTACATGTTTTTGATGTCTCTTATGCTCATCAAGGTTGCAGTTATTTGAATATTGTGAAATTTAAAATGACTGCTTTTCTATTTGAATATATTTTAAAATGTAATTTATTCTTGTGATGGAAAAGCTGATTGTTCAGCAGCCATTACTCCAGTCTTTTCCTACATTAAATCAACTCTAATACGCAGATTTGAATTTGAACATATTTGATTTATTACTATAAATGCTAAAAAAACAAAACAAAGTCTTAAAGGATTAGTTCACCCAAAAATGCAAATTAGTCCATAAATTACTCACCCTCAAGTCATTTCTTTCTTCTTTCAGGCGAATCCAGTCGGAGTTATTTTAAAAATTGTCTTTGATCTTTCAAGCTGTTTCATGGCACTCAGCGGGTGTTGCATGCATCCATCCAAAAGAAGTTAAATAAAAAGCGCCCATCCATAAAAAAAATGTTTCACACGGCTCCGGGGGGTGAACAAAGGCCTTCTGTAGTGAATCGATGCTTTTTTGTAAGAAAAATATCCATATTTTCAAAATGTAATAATCACTTTAATGTAGCTTGCGCTAACAGTTGTACACGGAAGCAGCTCCGGGCGGATGACGTATGAGGTCAGCGCTGCGCCTGAGCCGGTGAGTCTCGTGAAAACCAACGTTTGTTAACAGAAGCAAAGGAAGCAAAGTTTCCTTACTTTAGCAAAGGAAAACCAGTCTCCTCTTGGCTTATATCGAAATCCTCCCGCATTCTTCTTTACAAATCCTCGTTTTGTACTTCTAATTAGTGACCGTTGTTTTGTTTTGATCTCTCCGCTGCGTGTCACTTCTGAGTGGCGCATGCGCAGCGCTGACCTCATACGTCATTCCCCCGGAACTGCTTCTGTTTACAACAGTGAGCGCAAGCTACATTAAAGTGATTATTACGTTTTGAATATGGATATTTTTCTTACAAAAAAGCATCGATTCACTACAGAAGGCCTTTGTTTACCCCCCGGAGCCGTTTGAGACACTTTTTTTTTATGGATGGCTGCTTTTTATTTAAATTCTTTTGGATGGACGCATGCAACACCCGCTGAGTGCAATTTTTAATATACCTCTGACTGGATTCGTCTGAAAGAAGAAAGTCATATACACCTAGGATGACTTGAGGGTGAGTAATTTATGGGCTAATTTTCATTTTTGGGTGAACTAACCCTTTAAAGGGTCAGTAACACAAATTAAGATATTTTTGATGAATTCTGAGAGCTCTCTGACCCTCCCATAGACAGCAATGCAACTAAAACGTTCCCAGGTCCAGAAACGTAAGCACATCGGTAAAATAACCCATGTGACATCAGTGGTTCAGTCGTAATTTTACAAAGCTACAAGAATACTTTTTGTGAGCAATAATAACAATTCAAAACAATAATAACAATTTATTCTACAAACCCGATTCCAAAAAAGTTGGGACACTGTACAAATTGTGAATAAAAACAGAATGCAATGATGTGGAAGTTTCAAATTTCAATATTTTATTCAGAATACAACATAGATGACATATCAAATGTTTAAACTGAGAAAATGTATAATTTTAAGGGGAAAATAAGTTCTTGTCCCGGAGTTACCGTCTTCCGCCATTTTGGAGAGTACCCAAGAACTTAATCAGCGCAGTCAACTTTGTTTATGTTCAGCATGTGCGTGCTTTAGCCTGAATGTAAACAACGCTGATTACATTGATTACGTTCTGGGGTACTCTCCAAAATGGCGGAAGACGGTAACTCTGGGACAAGAATTGTTGAATAAATAATGTTATTATTGTTTTCTTTGCGCACAAAAAGTATTCTTGTACCTTCGTAAAATTACAACTGAACCTCTGATATCACATGGACTATTTTAATGATCTCCTTGCTACGTTTCTGGACCTGGTAACATTACAGTTGCGCTGCTGTCTATGGGAGGGTCAGAGAGCTCTCAGAATTCATCAAAAATTTCTTAATTTGTGTTCCGAAGATGAACGAAGGTCTTCTGGGTTTGGAACAATATGAGGGTGAGTAATTAATGACAGAATTTTCATTTTTAGGTTAACTAACCCTTTAAAAGAACAGCCTTCATTTGAAAAACAAATATTTAGTGACATTATAAATGAACTGTTCTAATACACATTTTTGATTGGATGATCCCTGATCAAAGCCAATTACACATGTGCATGATTGCTGTGATTATGTGAACAAGTACCTAGATGCATGTCTTGACTAAAATAAACCTGATGTAGAACATGAATAAAAGAAGAAACAAACAAAATAAAAGGGCAAAAATGAGGTGTTGGTGTATGTGATGGTGTTTTCTTACAAGAGTCAATGTTCTGCTCAGAGGCAGACTTTAACAGCATCATGGCAGTGGCAGCATCAAAATCACATTCTGTGAAGAGAAAGAAATGTTTGATGCACACAAGTATTGACTATGTGATGTGTGTGTGTGTGTTTAAGTGAATGAGTCACTTCCACCCAAGAGCGAAACAGTCGCTCTCTAATTTCAAAGTACCAGTGCCTTGGTTGTCAAGGTTACCAAATATAGGAAAGAGATGGCATCTATGTGCATGGTGTAGAAGCACCAAGTACAGGGTGAGTGGAACAAAAAGAGCTGAGATGAGTGATAGGCTTCAATGTGTGATGCTGCATCTGATAATGATGTGTAAAAGATGTGACCAGGTTATGGATTTTCTGAACAGACTTAATGAATTCTACTAACCTTTTAGGGCACAGCCCTGCTCTGATGTGAAAAGGTGATGAGGAGGAGACGAGGCACTACAGAACAGAGAGAAAGTGTGAGAAGATGTTAAACACACCAGTTAGATATTTTCTAGACTGAAGTCTTACATCACAATCTGTTATATATCATAAACTTCAGAGGCAACCATAGGTGAAATCTGTGTCATAATGTATGAGAGACAACTACGGTTTTGACTAAAGTACTATTAGCCAGTGTGCACACACACACAGCCGTTCAAAAGTTTGGGATTAGTAAGATTTTTAATGGTTTTTTTAAAGTATCTTTTGCTCATTAAGGCTGCATTTATTTGATCAAAAATAGAGGGAAAAAAACAGTAATATTGTGAAATATTATTATAAGTTAAAACAACAGTTTTCTATTTTATTATACTTAAATCATTTATTCCTGTGATGCAAAGCTACATTTTCAGCCATTACTGCAGTCTTCAGTGTCATATGATACTTCAGAAATCATTCTGATTTATTATCAATATGCTGATTTATTAACGATGTTGGAAACGGTTGGGCTGCTTATAAATAAATAAATAATAAATGTATGTATGTATGTTTTTTTTTTGTTTTTTTTGGTGGAACCTGTGATGATTTTTTCAGGATACTTTGATGAATAAAAAGTTAAAAACAGCATATTCAAAATTGAAATCTTCTCTAACAATATGTCTTTACTATCACTTTTTATCAGTTTAACACATCCTTGCTGAATAAAAGTATAAATTTATTTAAATTCTTAAAAAAAAATACTGATCCCAAACTTTTGAACGGCAGTGTATATACATACACACATTTTTTTTATATATTACCATGAGCTAATACCTATTCTTGGATGATCCAGAGAAATATATTTGTATAAGGGTTATTTAATTTTCCTGATTGTAAAAATACTGACGATTCAACTCTGTCATGAATCACTTGTGTTGCCCAATAATTAATATTTAAAAAATGGTGTAATATAGTAAGGATAAATATTAAATTTTTTTTATATGAACAAATTAATGGCAACAAAGAAAGTTACATAAAACAAACATAGTTTTAGTTAAAAAACCTTAAGTCTTAAGTAATTTTCCTTTCATATTTTAGTTGTGTTATTTTAAATGCATTAATTAAAATAAATTAAATTAAATTGTGTATCAAATTGTTCTGAATCAGAAAAAAAGCTTGAATCAAAATCAGTGGATTGAATTTATTTGCTGTCAACTTAAAGATTCACACCACTATATTATTATTATAGCCAGAGAAAAAACATTTAGAACAACCAACATTCACACACCTGTGACGACAGCTGAATATTAATTTTATATTAATGCACCAAAGCTGCAACATTTTTGGTAAACAACCTATATTAGACATGATGGCCTACACCAGACATTAGTGAAGCATCATGACACATAACCAAATCGCTCCCACTATATTTAACAAAGCGGTCTGCACTGGAAGTGTATTCCTATGAAGTAAATCTCTGAAATCCTAGTAAGCAGCATACAAGCATTCTTTCTACTGACTGAAGCCTTGATAAATGTCAGAATTATTGATATTAATATTATCAGGCCAGTGTTGATACCTAGGAGGGGAGGCAGGAGGAGTGCAGAAGGCATGTGCATTCGGGAAGTGCTGTTTCTTCAGGGCTTGCATCAGCATGGGCCGGAACTCGGGGTGAACGCACCACAGAGAGCCTTTCCCATTGGTCTAGAAGAAACAGAGAGGGGCGGAGTCAGAACTGAAAGAAGCAAGCATGATATCAGCATGCTAGTGTGAGGAGAAAGCTCAGGTTAAATGACAACAGGACCATCTGTCTCTCTGTACGTGCACTTTACATTCATATGCACATCATTCATTAGCTGCAAAATTATTTTAAGCCATCATGAAACTATAATGATCACATGGGAACCATGTGGAACAGTGGCTCCTATTGTGCTTGCGTGGGGATATGTGTGTGTGAATAAAGGACTCATCACCCTTTGTCTGAGGTGTGGTCCTGCAGGGGGAATATGACCTTGACTCACTTCACTAGCCGTGTTCATAAACAGGAAAGAGGAAACATTGCCATGGCAACAGACACCAGGCTGAGACATATGAAACCCACAGATTCACACGCAATGTCACACGTTAATGAAACATACCATCCTCACCGTTCCATAAATCATTTCGCCATCTACGGTTCACGTAGAAGAAATGAAAACGTCTGCCTCGCTTCATTTAACTGGCTGCGTGCCCTGCTTTGAACACAACGGTTTTCAAAACGCCCTAAACCAATATCCCTCTTGACAACCCTGTTAGCACACTGCAGTCAGCCGTGCACTACTTTATACACTGACCCAGTTAGTTAAACATCTCAGCGAGTGCTCTGCAGCGATGTTGTGTGAACCTCTCCTCAGAAAAAGATGCTATTCTAATTTATTACAAGGCTCTCTGGAATACTTGATTCTGATTGGTCAGTCGCAGCATTCTGAGGTCAAATGGTTTTTTCTGTAATGGCAACTAAACTGCATTTGAGCGTTGTCCCTGGCAACCGGTCTCACTGTGCTAGTTTCACGTCTCTTGTAGCACTATGCGGTCACACATAATAAAAATAATTTCAACCCACATTAATATTTCAAGTCTATATTTCATTATTTTGGAGATAATGTACAGTAAGTCATTACTGCAAAATAAACCCCTTCATATTAGGGTTGCACCAATGTTAAAATTCTGGCTGATACTGGTAAGACGAACATGATCTTATGCCATTTATCGATTATCATTTATACAATTAAAATCTTATACTATTTTAGCTAATATATGAAAAATAATTTCAAATGATATGACTGAATTTATGCATTGGAGCATTACATAAGTACAATACAAAATATGAACATACATTTTGGTAAAGATTACATTTAACGAAAAGCAAAAGCACCAAATTATTATAAAAAAAATAAAAAATAAACAACACTAAAAATAGGCTGAAATGAATGTCCGCAACAATGTTATTTTAAAATTATTTATATACTAAATTTGCTTTTGTTGTTATATTTTCTATAGTTTCATTTTAGTTTGAGTAATTTTGTTATATGCTTTTGTTTTTATTAGCTTTTTTATATATTTCTATTTAGCTTTAATTCAGTTTTAGTTTAGCAATTTAATTACATGAATTTAAACTTATTTTATTTCAGTTATTTGCCAAGGGACAGTTTCTAACTTTTAAGATTAAGATTTTCTTCTAATATTTATTTTATTGTAATATTAATTTAATTTTTAACTTAATTTCAATTAATTAAACCATTTTTAATAGTTTTACATTTAGTTAATAAGAATACTGGTCCACAATTTAAAATCCTATAAATGACTGAATTTTTTTTTTATAATAATAATATTGTAATACTGGTAACCATTATGGTTCTGTATTACAATTATGGTTATGCCTGCATTTATTGTATGACCGGCTGAATGTACATTATCCCTTACAAACACCACATGAGAATGTCCATTTTTCTTGCATTCCTACCTTTCCTATGCTTCGCTCTACTTTGCGGAAGCACTTGTTGAGGGACAGGTTGTGGCGCACTGAGTTCTTCCAGCCAGTAGGGGCGCTGGAGAAATATGGAAAATGTTTGAGGATCCAGCTGTAGATGTCCTTCACTGGGAGAGATTTGCTGGGCGACTGTTCGATAGCCATGTATATCAGTAAGGAGAAAGAGAATGGAGGCTTTGACTTGTAAGGATCTCTCTCGCTTCCTGCAGAGATAGAGGAGGTGGACGAGGCGGTGTTGCTGTGTGGCGACCCACCGCCTCCCTCGATGTCAAACAGCGGGCTGTTGATGGGTTGCGCTTCGCCTCCGAGCGTGAAGTTCTGCAGCAGGTTCTCATGAAGCCAGTTCAGGTTGGTTAGTTCATCATCTTCAGACTCACCCGCCACCACACTCAATGCTCCAGCCCGACCAATCTGTTCCAGACTGGTAGCCATGGGACTGGAAGCACTCTCTGCTTCAGGTAGAGTCCCAGCTCCACACACGCCCTGCGCTCCGGGAGATTCGGCTTTCTTATCTGGAGACATCCCGATTATCGGACCCATCAAACCAGGAGGGTCTGTGGAAGGGAAGGGTATTGAAGAGAACAGAAAGTGGGCACTGGTTACTACAACTGTCAATCACAAATAAATGTGGGTGTATTTATTTACTGAAATGCAGAAACTGAAATTAACATTTTCATTTGGCTGAAACTGAAAATAATGTTTCGTAAATTCAATTTGGGTAATTGTTCTTTTAATGCTGTTCAGAATGTCATGTTCTCAGGAGATAAATTAAACCAGTCATAGTAAAGTTCTTCAGAAATGCCTCTTAAAATTTCAGCTACATATTGGTACAATATTTAAAATAAATATTTAATTATAGGTGCAAATTAATGGCAACAAAGTACACTAAGAGTTTAGGTGCAAAAAACTAAGTTAATAAAAACTGCAAATTGGCGCAAAAAGTTTGAATAACAAAAAAAAAATGTAAGTCATGAATTGAATTGATTTGGTGTCTACTTGAGGATTCACACAACTATATTATAAATATGACTGAATGAACACTGGACAATTTTTGGTCATGTCCGCAATGATGACATGTTTACCTATTCTATCTTATTAACACTATGTGCACAAAATATGCTGACATAATAAAAATGCTTCATCAGAGAAGCACTGTTTGACCACTGGTTCAACAAATCACAAAACTCACAGTTCAGATCATATTGCGTTTTTTTAGTCACGGATTGGATCAGCAAGAAAAAATTATATATTTTATTTAGGGATGCACCGAAATGAAAATTCTTGAACAAAATGAAACACTGGGCTGAAGGCCGAATACCGAACACTGTTTTTAAAAAGTTAGTAAAATAATAGCTTTTGGCCATTTTGAGACCCTCTTCTTGAATCAGTTATGTATTTTTTACTGTACAAATAAATGCAGCCTTGCTGAGCAGAAGAGACTTTTTTAAAGAAAATATTACAGATCCCATCCACTATGTGTGAATGTTATAAATTTATTAATAGAGCTGTTTTAATTATTATTATCATTGTCAATTTTTTTTTATTTTAAAAATTCATAAAAATGTGACTGAGCAACTGATGAGTAACACTGTTTCAGCACAGATTTTCCTCGCGCTTTGGACTTTGAACCCTGGCTAACAAGCAGATAGCACTGCGAGCTCTGCAGCGCAGTCAGAATACATGCAAACCATGCGTGTATTAGAAAGCAACACTCTGCAGTTTATTTAATTGTTAATTTAATATTTATTTAATTTCGCGATTTCAATCATCATACAGTAACCAGCAACAACCAACCCTTCCTCTTCTCATCGAAGACAAGCACTAAAAAGTATCTTGCTGTCTGTGCTTATAATGATTTTTGCATCTTTCTCAGACAGCTTTAAATGCTTTCTCTCACTGACGACATGTTTGCTGCATTAGTGCGCGCCTCTATTTGATGGCATCACATCATTGTTCGGTACAATTTATAAGGAGGAATTTTCACTTATTCGGCCAAACACCGAAAGATTTTTTTTTTGCTATTTTCGGGCGAATAATTTCGGTTGCCGAACATTCAGTGCATCCCTAATTTTATTTCAATGTAACTTTGCCTTTCATGTACAGCATTACTATTACATAGCACACTTTAAGTATTTCTTCAATACCACAGTAAAAACTACAAGCCTAACTAAGAAAGTTCAAACATGACAAGTAAAAAAAAAATACACAAATTACACACATAGATAAATACTTTATAACAAAGTTACAAATAAAATAAGTTCTAACAGTACTATCCAGGTACAGAAATTTAATGATTAAGTGTAACATAACACTGCATAGTGTTCACTGTATAAATTAAATATAGAATAATCTTAGTTAAAGCTGTGTGTTTTTGTTTGATAAACATTAATGACAGACAGCAGCTGGTATTTATAGGCCGCTGTCCCTTTAAGACCTGATGCACGGATTTAATATAATGATATACATCCGATTTCTTTCTCAGGTGTTTTTGTTCACATAATTGAATGCGTTTACGAGAATGACTGTCGAGACCGGTATTTTGACATAATTAATGTGTATTTGTGTCCGTTCAAACACAAAGAGATGCGAAAGAAGAATCAACTCTGTGTTGCATTGATGAACTATGATCCGTTTAACCCCTATTTAAAAGGAATTGTGTGGCAAAGGATTCTACAGTATGACCACTGAACATAACAGAAGCCAATGAGGCAAGTCTAACAGTACTATCCAGGTACAGAAATTTAATGATTAAGTGTAACATAACACTGCATAGTGTTCACTGAATAAATTAAATATAGAATAATCTTAGTTAAAGCTGTGTGTTTTTGTTTGATAAACATTAATGACAGACAGCAGCTGGTATTTATAGGCCGCTGTCCCTTTAAGACCTGATGCACGGATTTCATATAATGATATACATCCGATTTCTTTCTCAGGTGTTTTTGTTCACATAATTGAATGCGTTTACGAGAATGACTTGCGGAATATCATGGAATTTGCCAAATTTGAATGGATACATCAAAAGTAGGTCAGTACACTTAAATCATAACGCAATATGGACTAGTGGCTGTGAATAAAGTGGCAAAAATACCATTTAAACATGAATACCGCATGTTCTGCGTGTCTCTGTGTGAATGAATAGCGCAGACACGCATTTTCATTTACTACACATACTACAGCACGCATGATGCGTGCAGTGTTTTCAGCCTCTGTTGCCTCAATACATGAGTACATGAACATCTCTAGAACTGCTCTGAGTCACTTCATGAGCATTTAACCATTTATTTTGAGAAAAACTATCGTCATATCATATAAACAGAGAAAATTAAAGGTCTTCACAGCAACCCATCAAAATAAAAGTTTGGTTTAACTTAAAGAAACCGTGATAAATACCATAATATGTTTGCATATATTTAAAGGGGTCATATGATGCAATTTAAATTTTTCCTTTATCTTTGAATTGTTACAAGCTCTTGGTGCATAAAGAAGATCTGTAAAGTTGCAAAGACTAAAGTCTCAAATCCAAAGAGATATTCTTTATAAAAGTTAAGAGTCAACCATGCCTACCTAAAACGACTCGTTCAAACACGCCCCCACATATCTACGTCACGATGTGGGAAGATTTGCATAATGCCGCCCAAATGTTCACGCAAAGAAAGAAGGCGTAACTTTTATTCTCGCTGTAGTATTGTTGTTGCCGCCTCCGCCATGTCATTTCGTTGTGAACGCAAAATTACTTTGTCTGCCCTTCCAAAAGAGGACGATATCCGCTTTGTCATGCCTAGAGCTGATCCGTGCTGGTCGCTGAGGAAATACATCAACTTTGCGCTGTGGATCGCCGGATCGGTTTTCACCGTGGACGAAGCGGAGTCCAGTCCGGGGTCGTCGTATGTGGTTGCCGCAAGTCCGCCGGACGCTCCTTCGTCGAATCCGCTGGCCTCTGCTCACTCTAGCCCGCCGTGTGTGGCGCTGTGCGTTTCGTTGTGAAAGCGAAACTACTTTGTTTGGCCTTCCAAAAGAGGACACAACTAGAAATCAGTGATTAAGTTGTATTTATAACACTTTTCCAGAACAGTTCAACCCAAATATTCAGATGTGTGCAGCACATTTCATGGAGGACTGTTTCCTGATCCTGGTAGAGTAGACTACAATGCCGACTGTTCTGACTTACAGACTGTAAGTAGGTTTTCATATTTAAAGGATTTGCCACTGATGATTCAAACGTGAGATTTGAGCAGTGTAGAGTAGCGCTTGTTGTCATTTCTCCGATCACAAATGCAGGCATGGTTTTATGTTTACGCGGCGCGATGCAATGCTTAAAAAGACAGTATAAATCATTATAATCCGTAATTATGTCCCCACTGGATGCAACAAATGCCTCGTTTATAATGGGTTTTAATGTTTTTGTCTCGTCGCTCCAGCCGGACAGGGCATCACAGTATGGTAAGGGGCGTAACATTTCCATCACACGCTTGAGGTATTCGGCCAATCACAACGCACTGGATAGCTGGCCAATCAGAGCGCACCTTGCTTTTCAGACTGATGAGCTTTGTAAAAATCGACGCGTTTCAGAAAAGCGGGGCATAGAGGAGAAACAATAATGTACAGTATGTGGAAAATAATGTGTTTTTTTAACCTTAAACCGCATAAACACATTTCATTACACCAAATAATGTTCTTTTTAGCAACATCATATGACCCCTTTAAGAAACATGCTAAGTTAACATACTTGTTTATCTGAAAAACAATGCTACAGTCAGTTATTCTCCTTTGAAAATGTGCGTTCCGGGCCAAAATGTCGGTCTCTGTTTTGGTTTGTGAAACCCACCCACTGCCAATTTACCCAATTGTATTTCGGCATACCGGGTTGCCAGTTGGCGGAAAACACAGCGTATTTCATTTCATTAATCGTCAAGTGCGCTCATTCCTGTTGGTGTCACAACCTGGCAACCTGCATGTGCGTCAAGTCTGAGGAGGAGGGGCCGGGTGAAAAAAACCCCTCTCCAATATTTTGAATTTGGACTGCAACACCAAGTTCAATCCTACATACAGCACCTTTATGCGTTTAATAAATTGCTGTGTAATATTGTAAGTTTCATGATTTCAATTAATTAGACATGCTTTTTTATTAATAAAATTTAATATAACCATTAAAACTGAGTCTAGACAAATTTTAATGGAAAAAAACTAAATTTGTGAAAAAATGAAATGGAGGGCCCTATGCACCCCTTATGAAAGCACCATATTTTCCTCAAAAACTGAGTGAAAAGATCTAAAGGATTTTATAAAGAATGACCTGTTTTTCCTCTTTCATCCCCACCATTCACAAACTAATTTCCATCCAAATTTGAAGGAGGATTTATTCAGTATTGAACTGCTGATGTTTGCAGAACAGAGCACTGGGAAGAGCATGTGCATCTGTAATAAAACAGTTGGAGATGGAGATCAAGGGGTCTTCTACGTGTTTAAGCATGCTTAAACAGCCATTCGAATTGGAGCTCTCTGCTGAAACCCAAGCAGAGAGCTTTTCTTTCCTGATTCCTGTAGCGTTTGG